TTGGTAATACCAGCATTAAGTTACTCCCAGTAAGTATAATAAACGGTGTGGTGAAAAGGGTTATCTTACTTTTAATAAAATGTGGATCGCGACTATCTAGAATCAACCCCTTCAATTGCTATTGAAGTACTGCTACTAAAACTCCAGCATTTCTTCAAAACCTCGCCTCACATAAGTGATTAAATAAAACGGCCATCAATCGCTTATGATCGCTGAACCCCTAAACACGACTCCACCACCACAACAGAACAATGATTGGGTTGCTGCTTTCTGTGATTACACGACTCTACGTAATGACATATCGATTCTATTTACGTCCGGAAAAATACTGACCAAGTATGAAATACAAAAAAACAACTAAAGATGCATGAAGGCAAGTAATGAAAAAAAAATATTATGAAAAAAATTCGCAACGCGCAACTCCCTGTAACTGTAATCCTTCCATCCCCGAAATGCTTCTGACGATGTGAATTTAAACGTTCTGTGTTGGATTGCTATCTCTCGGCTCATCGCACAGCCGTGTCCTCTGTTGAAGAGCATTGAAAATAAATACAAGACGATCACCTCCCATTGAGGTCCGCGCGTCGCGTGACGTGCACGCTGCGCCCGTCGCAAGGCGGCGGTGGCAGGCGCTGGAGGCCGCCGCCGCGGCGCAACGCCTGGCGCGCGGGTGGAGGCTGCGGCGGTAGCGGAGAGGGCGCAAGCCTGACGGAGGCGGATGTGGGTGGGGTCCGTTTCGCCGGTCGGGGAAGGTGGAGTTTGAAGGTGTGGAAGCACAGAAGAGAAATGGCGGTGTTTAGGTGTGAGAGTTGGATTGGAGGCCGGAGGGCGTAGGTGGTGGAGGAGGAGAAGGCGGGGACGTGGACGTAGAGACAGGCTTAGATGTGTGGTGGTGGAATGCAAAGGCGAAAGCAGGTGGGAGGTAGCCGCACTGCAGTGATTAGGGGGGAGAGGCCAATTCGAATGCAGTGGCGGCGGCGGCTGTGGCAGTTGCGGTGTCGGCAGCAGCAGGGGCGGCGGCGGCTGCCGTTTTGTAGCTGGCGCGCGATCCCGCGACTGGAATAATGAATCAACGCGCGGCGTCTGTGGCTGACTGCGCCTTCGCCCTCGCGCGTGTGTCAGGGGGCGGACAGGCGCTGGCGCTGCCGCTGGGTGCGGCTGGCGCGACGGCGGCGGCGGCTTTGGAATCGGCCGCCAGGCGCAGCGAGAGAGAAAGAAAGAGATACTGAAGTGTGTAGTAGACAAAATTGGAATAACACGGTTAAAGAGAATGTGGAAGGTTGCAAGAGCTGAGAAAGGTGAACGCTGCGGATAATTCTCGGATGGCGGATAGAAATTGCGACTGCGATTGTGAAAGAACTGATAAGAGAACTTTTGTACGTGCGTGTGTTTAATACTACAATATATTGACGGTTTGAGCGTTGTTATGTATTTACAAATCTTTCAGTGTGGCCAAGAACCACTATTAATGTGAAAGTCGGCGAAGAATGATTACGAAAGAAGGGTAATCATGCGTATTGATAGAGATTCAATGTTGAGTTTAGTTTTAATTAAGTTAAAAAAATATACGTAAGATGTTTAGGAATAAATAGGAAAACAGAGAAAATGCTTAAAATGTTTGTGAGGAGAAATTTCTAATAATTGCAGAAAGCAAAGTATATGAAGTTCCACACAATTCCCATATATCACTATCTTATCACTCTGCACTTAGCGACTCTACGGACATAAACAGTCGAATGTAGGATTGTATACATCAACAAATGTATCCCTCTACAAACGAACACTGACATGGCATCTACATAACATGAATAAACTAATTACATCATACAACATTGATATCTACTAACAATATGTGGCTGGACGCCTTGATCCTCATCAGCCCACACAAATCCCAGTTGGCACACGCTTCACATTAGTTCTCCTCCCCTCCCTTTCTCCACTTTCCACCTCCCCGAAACAGTTGGCGGTGGAGGGAGAAGTACGCACGCATACGAAGGCGCGTACATACACACGCACACATTCACGCACGCACGCACGTTGCAGCCGCAATTTTTGCGGCGACGTGCCGCCCGATGCGGGAGCCGCGACAGACAGACAGACGAAAATACATTTATCACAGCCATGACAAATGCTGGCGGTTCTTTTCCAGCCGCTCCCACCCCCCGCGCCCTTGCGCCGCCGGATGCGCGCGCCGCCCCCCNNTGTCGTTCCGCTTCTGCCCGTGGCGCCCGCTGGACGTCTTTCTTTTGTTTAATGCGGCCGCTGCGTCCCGCCGTAAGGACGCAGTGCCCCTGTGTGACCTCCACTTTCGAGGTTGAGACTCCTCCTTATCTTTTACGGTTTTGCGCACTTGATATCATCTGATATTGAGGATGTAGGCAAACGCGGATGTGGAGGTATGTATCGAAAAATAAGTAGAATTTAATTTTGTGCAATCAAAACTGTATAGAATTGAATACATGGTTTTAAAATCCACTTTTTTCCTAAAAGCAGTTGAGATATACATTCTTTTTGTTATTATTCAAGCCATAGATCAGTGTAAAAGTGAAACTTCTCCAGTTTAAAGTATGTGTTTTACTGACAAGTGAAAATTAAAATATCTGGGAAAGAGAAAGAAGTCCAGGATTAGTTCCTGATCCTCACTCTGGAAAACTGGCTTTACCTGCTAGGAAACTCCTTGAAGCTTCATGACAACAATAATAGACACTGAGGTCAACATAGACTTTAAAATCAGTTGGTCTAACTATTCTAACCCTTAAGAAACCAACCAAGTCTGTTGCTTGTTCTGGCTGTCCTTATTGTAAGCCTGGTGTGAATCGTTCCAAATAAAGCAGCTAACTTACGATAGAAAATATTTTGGTCACCTCGTGTCAGGCGAGTACATATACTAATGGACTTATCAAGTATCATTCATTTGGCAAAAGGGAAGGCACGTCCAGATTTGCCTTTCAAGAAAGTTTGTGGCTCAGCTGTTCTTCTAATCAACAGAAAAAACAACCGATATTAAAATATAGTTAAATAATCCCACATGAATATCTTCATTTCTACAAGAAAGTTTTGACACTCAACCCTCACACTCAAGTGGAAATCGATGATGAGTAGTTGCTTGCATTTTTTTCGTGTATAGGCCAACTCGGACCATGCAAGCATTCTACTTCAGCAAGTACCATTATGTGGGGGGGGCAGCATTTTAGCTAAATCTCGATTTTTATCCCCAAAATTGTTACCCCTGTGGTGTGGACGATGAGATGATGATGATGATGATGATGATGATGATGATAGTGAGGGGATGAAAGGACGGCCCACACATGTAGACATACACAAATACACCCATGCCCGAAGCGGGACTCTAACCCGAGGTGTTCTGGTCCGAGATCGCTATGGCACTACTGCTCTAACGATCTCGGCCAGTTTGACCGGCTGCTGGATTTATTAATTTAGTTAGAGTATTTTTCATGTTCACAATTCACATAATTTTATATTTATTCTATGATTACATAGTCTCATAAATCCAAAAATAAAGAAGTACAATGTTTTTAAATATTTCATACTTATTTTCTAAAGGAAATAAGTCCATGGATATAAAAAACGTTTCTGAACATCTCACAAACGCAAATTTTAAGTTTTAGAGTAGACCAAACAATCAACAACTAGTTCTACAACTTTCGTGGGGAACATTGTCCCAGGTGACAACTGTGGATGTTATTAAGTTTCTTTTTGTTTTTTCTCGGAAAAATTGAACAAGGACTTATTTATCTTTTTAAAACACCGATTCAATTGCAAAAGCATGCCAACGTGAATCACTTTGCTGCGTCTAGTACCATGCGCGAACACAGACTCTGCTTATTTCCGTTGCGATGCCCTAGATGTGTATCGATATAGAAAATACCTATCGGAGGCTCTAAAGTAGACATCACGTGAGTAATAAGAGGTATTTAATTCGCATGACGAAGTGAGTATTATCTTTAAATTAAACTCTAAATAACATTACATTACTACGCAACACCTGATATTTATGACCCATTAACACCAGAAATATACAGAATTTATTAGGAACGATAGATATGTATTTCTAATTAATGATTATTTAACGTGTTTTGCGTATCAAGAATTCCAAACAATTTGCGCTATGACACCCTAGGCATTCAGATTGCTACTTTAAATTGCCATTTCAGAAGAGAGTTACGAGATTAAATCAACGGATTTCAACGTGCCTCGGACATCTTGTGCAAACATTTAGCGCCCCCCCCCCTCCGAGTGGCGTACGGCGCATTGGACCGAGTGCGCCCGCTGGTGTCTTCGCTGGGTGAGACCGTCTCGGCGGTTCCTAAATGAGAAACTCGCCTCCTCGCAGCGCGGGGGCTTGGAATCTCGCTACACGAACTCATTCGGCGCGCAGCGGAAGTTAGTGGGCGCAGCCAGCGGTGCGCAGCCGCGCAGCCACCCCGCAATTAAGATACCTCGCGGATTCCGCGATAGCGAAAACACGTGCCGGCGCCCTCGCGCGCTTCACGCATCTCGACGCGTTCCTCCGCCCACGACAAATGCCGACCTGGCGGAGAAGATGGGGGACTAGTGGAAGCGAGAGGAAAGGAAGGGAGATGGAGGGCAGGAGGAGGAACGAAGACGGTGGAGATTTGGGGACCCTTTGAAGGAGAAAGATGATGGTTAAAGGGAATATAATTGTGAAGGTGAAGATGATTGTGAAGACAATGGTAAAGGTGAAGATGATGGTGAAGCTGAAACGACGCGGTGAGATAAAGACGACGTGTGAAGGTGATACACGGTTGAAGGTAGACGATGGGAAAAGGTGAAGGCGATGGAAAGGTAAAGACGATGGGAAAGGTAAAGGACCGATGTGAAGGTGAAGACCCGATGGGAAAGGAAGAAGACGATGGAAAGCGTTGAAAGACTATGAAAAGTTAAAGCAATGGGAAAGGGGAAGACGAGGGAAAGGTTAAAGACGATGGGAAAGGTGAAGACGATGGAAAGGAGAAACTATGGCAAAGGTTGAAGACGATGGGAAAGGGGAAGACGATGGGAAAGGTGAAGACGATGGGAAAGGAGAAGACGATGGGAAAGGTGAAGACGAAAAGGTTAAAGCAATGGGAAAGGTGAAGACGATGGGAATGGTAAAGACTATGGGAAAGGTGAAGACGATGGAAAAAGAGAAGACGATGAAAAGCTTAAAGCAATGCGAAAGGTGAAGGCGATGGGAAAGGTGATGGTGATGGTGAAAGTGAAGACGATGGTGAAGATGACGGTAAAGGTGAAAGGAATGATGGGTAGGTTTCCAGCGCAGAAGGAGTGAGCTGGAAGATATGAAATTGAGGTGATGGAGGTAAAGAAGGATGAAGATGCATTGGAGAAAATTTAAGATGAACAAAAGTGTGATAGTGAGAGGATTTATGTAGGAGAATTAGGGTTCGAATTTTTCCGTAGATGAGCTGTAGTAATGGTTATAATTCATGTTGAGTGAATAATTTTGTGATTTAACTGTATTGAGGAAGGAGAAGGAAGCTAAATAACAACTTCTATCAACTTAATAAATATGTACAAAAAGCAAGACTCGCAATTTTTAGTCTTCTATTTGACGAGTAGTTAGAGAGCGTTTCTGCACTCATTCAGAGCCGAGTCATTGCTTTATTTCACACTCGTAAGCTCTAAGTCTCGCAGCTCTCTCTATTGTGTTTCTTCTAGATGCTGCTTAATCTGTAAAGAATCCACAACGCCAACATTTGTTATGCATGTCTCTGGGGAGTGAGTTATCTCATGTAGAAGAACTAAGGAGCAATGATAATTTGTTTTACATTCCGTCTGATTCCATTGGTACCACACCCGCCATAGCCACTGTTGGCGTCGTTGCTAATGCATGCACCAGACGGCTGAAGGCAGTATGTAAAAGATGGTCAAAATTGTATTAATTTGGCTCTATCAACGTGGAAGTTTATAACATATTTAACAAGGAATCAGTTCAATGAAAATATGTTTCTTTTTAACACGTTTATTGCAACTACACTAATGTTGTTTTGAATTATATATTTTTGTCTCAATGATTGTTGGTGTCTTTCTTACTTACAGCACATCGCAGAATAGCCATTTCTGTTTTTTTCTATCTTCCTACCTCTCACTTCCCCTTGTCACCTCTACTAACGAGATATCCTATATTTATTTTTAAGCAGCTGTACTTCTACTGTTTTACGAAAACTTTATGATGCTACCATTTTTCAATACTGGATTATTGAAATACTTTATGTGTACGTATCACACCGTGCATGCTTAAATGACTCTTGCTTGTGTTATTCTGAAGTTTTTGCTTGGTAACGTTATAATTTTCAGTTACTCTTAAAAATTTACATGGATTCTTACATAAATTTCTTTTTCTCAGCAATTTTAAACGTCACTTCACTTAGTTTAACTACTGAGAAGTAATTATTTCACTGCAGCTGTTTTCAGTTTCCCATGTCTAAACTAATTTAAAGTCATTTTGAATTAGGAAATTTGACTTCATTACGTCATATCTTATTAAACTTTTCATCAAACCACTAGCAGATTCTCAAATAGCTCTCCCTTCCGTCTCCTCACTTTTTTCACTGCGTCTCTCCCTATTTTCGCCGTGTATATCACAAATGCCTTCCTCCTTTTTCTCCTTGCTGCCGACCGCCGTTGGGGCTTCCATCACCGCAACACTCAATCGCATTAGCGGCTGCGAACGTAACCTTCATAAAATATCAAAAGCGGGCCTGAGTGCCTCTTATGAGCCAAGAATAATATTTACAGCGGGTTGGACCGCTAACGGTGGCTCGAGGCTCCTAAAGAGGAGTTGAGGTATAAGAGGCGCCAGCCCTGCTTTGGGGGCTGTTAGTGAGCAAGACTTTTTGTGAGGAGAGCCGAAGACTCTGTTTGAAGTGTCTATTTAATTGTGCTCTGAATACGTGAGGAAGCGTTATTGGGAGTCTGTATTTTACGAAGCGTATTTAGTGTGGAATAGTTGACGGAATTCATGCGTAATGAAACCGTACCGGATAATAAAGAAATTCTATAAGATGAACTTAAACTAGCGGTAATAAAGGCATGAAGAATCAGTCGCAAATATTGGATCAATTTATGAAATCAATTATATATTTTATGAAATAGGTATTATGTTGTTAAATATTCGAAGGGTTTCTCTATATTTGATCTGCGTTATATTTCATTATTACACTCTCGACTCTCGTAATTGCCTACAATATTTCAGATCGATTTTGTTACCCAACCTATTGAAAGCTTGGAGAAACCTTTTATTTTAGCTTGAACATACATGGTCGAATTCCTTTATACAATAAACCCAAAAGTCCGACACACTCTGTAACAGATATTCCCAAATACAAAACAACGAAGGGAGACAAAATATCTTTTATTCCTCTCGCATCCGCAGCGAAAGAGAGCATAAACATTCAATTACACTAACCCCAAATACTCGTGCATTTGCGCATCTGGTGGGGACGCAAATAGAATTCCATTTGAGTTTAATTCTGCTGCTGAAGGCAGCTTCAAGAAAGGAACGCCGTTCGGTTTCAACGGAAGGGGCGACGGCGGCGAAGGCCGAGGTTGTAGTGGGAGAGCTCGTGATTATAGTGGTTCTGGTTGTAATAGTGATGGAGGGGGAAGCTGTGGGGCTAGCGGTGGTTGTAGGGGAGAGTTTGAACTTGGCAGCCAACAGTACATTTTCACAAAGTGTCTCTGGAGGCAATGTTTAGAATGGGTTCGAAGGATCACATTTGTTTTGATCCATTGTCTTGAAGGAAAAAGCTGATTTTAGGGAATCCCTTTAGAGCTTTTTCCGGTGCCTGTCATTGCCACTTCATTCCATCATAATTTATATGTGGAGAAATTACTCTAAGAAGGAACCATTTTGAGAGCTTGGATAACACATTAATGCGTTGCAGAGCGATGACAGTACAATAGATAGTGATGAAGACATATCAAAATAGGTTGACTGTAAACAAACGCACTGACAAAATGAGAGAATGGATACAACTTGCAATTGTGTTACAAGCAGTGGCCAAGCAGAAGCTATTAAAACAGTCCCTTCTTATAGTTATCTCTCTATACTAATATATAATTATCCATCCTCACGTCATTAATTTCTGGTGTCGTTGGAAAAGCTACATATACGTTTTAAGATTCATGGTAAAGAAAAAAATTATCGCCTGAAAAACATGGATGTGATCGCATTATTGAATGCGATTGTTGTATTGTTATTTATTTCCCAGCAGACAAAACTGTGTCTATCACAGGATATTCTGTCGCTTTGCGTACAATTGTAGACTTTGTTTTCGCGAATTCCAAACGTCTTGTAAAGTGTTTTTTAAGTCGCTTCAAAATGATTTTTTATTTTGTATATTTTGATATGACTACAATTTTAATTGTTTTTGTGAATATTTTTTTATCAAAGACAGGCTCGAATGAAACGTTTTTCCTAATAATATGAACACTAATTTTAATATTAGGTCTAGTTTGGATACGTAACATTAATTCAACCATCACTCATGAGAGCTACTTTTATAATGTGATATGTTATTTTTAATTTGATACTTTTGATACGTTTCATACGTTTTGAATGCATTTACAAAATATTAAGCCATAGAAAAGTGATGGCTACATAAGAAATGTTCGTAGTTATATCACATAAAATACAATTGGTGGCAAAAGGGCATATTTTAGACATTTTTTAACATTCCACTTTGAACACTGCAGGATCGCAAAACCAGTAAAATAATATTGTAAGAACTTTCGTATTTCATTCACATCAAAACTGTTTGGGGGTTATTCTTCTTTCACTTTAATGCATATTTTTTAACGAGTCAAAACCAACGTTTTGACGCAAATGTGCATTGTGCAACAACGGCGGCGCATATTGGTATGCACATGATTTAAACTCTCCATGCACAAAGCCAGTGGTATAACAGCAGCATTTTCTTACGTGTATGATTAATAAAGCTTACGTAATATTTCATTTCAACAGCTACCTTACAAGTCTTCAGTCACTTCGTGTAAAATACCCTTCAGTCAAAGATTCGAATCTGGAATATTAAAAATGTTCATGTGTTAAGAAAAATCTCACTCGAGCCATATTTATTACTGCACATTGCTCTTTTAAAATAAAATAAACATTTGACTTGGGAATGCTACTCCGACGTTCCATTTCAAAGGTGGCAAAGACAACGTCTGCTTGCATATTATGCAAGGATCATTGCATCACTTGTTATTGGAAAAACCTAACCATCTTCGACTCTCCCTGCATGCTATATAAGAATGTAACATTTAATCTGAGACACACTGCATGTTATTATACGAACTCAAAACCCAGTACAGTTTGTATTAGATTAACTTTGCCAGGCAAAATCGACGTGACTGGAGTTGAATGCGCCCTTTTGAAACCACTGCGGGGTGGGAGCGGTGGCAGGCGTTTTAAATGGGCGGAGCGGCCGGCGGGTGACCACCGGCAAAAAGCGGCGTAGACGTTTATTTGCGATCCTTAACGCCAATTTGCTCCGCTGCGGGCGATTCGCGGACGCGCTCCGGATGCCCACGCGCGCACCCGACGGGGGCTCAGCCGCGAGGGCCTGTGCGGCCCGGCGAGCCCGCTTCGGTGACGGTTTTCTCTTATTGTGATTCAAAATAGCTTCTAAATTTCCTCTGTAATGAACAAGGATTTTCGATATTGGAATTATTGGAACCAAGAGCTAATCGGAACCATAGATTAATTGAAACTATAGATTAATTGGAGACATAGATTAATTCAAGTAATTAACTAATTAGAGAATAGAATAATTGAAACCATAGTTTCATACGTAATCATATATTAATTAAAACCATGAAATAATTGCAATAACAGATTAATTGAAATCATTCACTAATGGAAACCATGTACTAATTGAAACTAAAGATTAATTTGGAACGTAGATTAATGATATGCCAATACCCTAGAGCGTGTGATCTGGTGAGGCAATAACGTTATTCTGGTGCATTGATTTGTTGTTGGTACCGATTTAAAATATTGTGTTGATTCAAGGACTCCACCACCCCTAAATGGCATCAATCCTCCAATGAAATTGATTTCTTCATCCACCCTTTCTATCCCATTTATTCCTCTCTTTATAAATCATTGGAGAAGTAAGATATTAATAGTGTTGCGTTCATAAAAGGTGAAAATCAATGAAAATTATTATTTAGGATTGGAGAGGTAAAAATGACACGCATTTTGTGTGTAGGAAAAATTGCGCCACAAGGCCTATAAAATTGGCAGGCCGAGTAGCGTAATTCCATGTGCAAATTAAAAAATACTTTTATCACGTGTGTCATGCACTATTTTTTGACAACCACGCTGACTTCCTTTATATATTAATTCAACTATACAAATCACTTAATGATACATTGCATTCAGTAGTAGATTAGGTAGTCATACAATAAGGTTTTTTTTTGCATTCAAAGGTATATGTGGAGAATTACTTTTATCACGCTATGCTTGCCCTGGAAGAATCGATTGTACTAGTTGACTTGTAAAAAAATGTTTTACGTCATCTGTTAGTTGTTTCTTGGTTATTGTGTTTTTTCCTGAAACGTAAAAGGATGCTACCGTATGCCTACTGTATTTGCTAAATATATCTGTCCTATATTGAAATAGGCAATCTTTAATTTTCAAATAAGAAATCAGCTTTCAATTGAAATAGAGACATATTTTATTACGTTTGAAATTCCCCAGAAATAATGTGTCCAACATATAACCATGTCTCGGAGTTGCCATAGATTCGTTCACGTTGTTGATCCGTCCGCTGTCCTCCTGGAGCTGATGGTAGTTCCCGCAGCGCGGCGCCGCCTTTGATGGACGGCGGCGGAGGGAGCGCAGCGCAAGCGGGGCGCATGGGGTCGAGCGCACGCGGCAGCTAGGCCCTAACTCGAGCCTGCCAGCTCTTCCTGTTTACATGTGCAGTGTTTGCTTATGCTTCTTTTCCTGGAAACTTGTATGTTAGCTTTTCGCGTTATGAGTCAGATCGAGAAAACGAGTCTTCATACTTGTGATGTAATAGACCAATTGTTCCTGACAGGCCATAATTCCGCAGTACTTCTCAGAAATAGCCGTTTGTAATGACGCAGTTCCTCCTTCATCATTTCCTGGATCCTCCATGATCTTGTAATTAGTATATTTATATCACATACTTAACTTCGCTTCTCTCCTAGCGAAGAGCAGCTAGAGGATGGGGTCGTGCTTACACAGAGCTTACATAACCGAGGGGCCTGCGCTTAATGAAATCCATTAGTTTTCTCTCAGAGTTCGTTTATTGAGCAGTCAGCTGCCACGTATTTACTCATCAGGAGAATATTACGTTGTTTTCTGTACTGAATTCAGTGCATTTGTAATGCTCGAGAGAACTCTCTTTGCCATGTCGACTGCTAACCCAACATCATGGTTTTCGCCATCTGCACCCCCTGCCTGCCTCGTGGCTCGTCCACCTGGCCTGGCGCTCTCTGCCCTAGTGTTCGTTCCTCTCCTCACCCCCGCCTCTTCTCCCATCCCCCACTCCGGCTTTGGAGGCTCACAGCATCAATTCATACCCTTGCAGCGCCCGACCGGGAGGTCCAAGGTGCCAGGATTTTCGGCATTAGCGTCACTGCTCGCCAGAATTCAGCCACTGGCTGGAGGAGAATTGTAGAGGCCGACTGCTTTGATAGGTAGTTTTCCATGGATTTTCTGTACACTACCAGGTGAATGCAAGAGCAGTGCTCTAACAAACGAGGCGCGGCTCGCGCGCGATCTTTCCTTGCTATTCCTTATCTTATCTTCCCCTTACTTGCACACTTTTATAATTACATTAACGTGTACTTACCACACAGTCAGAAGACCAGTGCCCCGCTGGTAGGAGATTCCTAGTGGGAGAACACCGCCACATCTCGCTATAAAACATTCACTGCACGTCCGCCACTAATGACTTAAACCGTTGTCTCCCTAACCCCCGTATTCGCCTTTCCGCCCCCCACTACCCAGCTGCACCGAGGAGACCGAGGTAGCGGGCGGGGCGGCTGGGCGGCCACTCCCTTTCTTAGCCGAAGCGAGAGCCTGATGCAGCCAGTGTGGATCGCCCCCACCCCAACCCTCAGTGCTGATTGGGCCACGCGAGCACGTAGCGGAGTTAGGGGTTGGTGGTCTCAGCAACTTTCAACAACACTAGCTTCAGAACATATTGCGAATATTATAGATTTTATCTATTCAGATAACATTCCACAGATTCGCTGTAGCAATTACGTAGTAATGACTGTAATGTAAGGTCACGTTCGTTGGAACGTATTAATTTTTTTAGGCAAACATTGCATATTTTTGTAACATTCGTGAAATTTATAATGATGTTCTGAAAGTGCTTTAAGTTACAAGTGAGTTGAAAAGAGTAGGTTTCCAGCTTAAAAGTTGTAGTTTGCAGTAAAATAACAGTTTTTTTCACAGCGAATATATAAATGGTTCTTCGACGAAGTTTGGAATCATTACGTGGAAAATCAATACGAATCAATATTGATAAATCGTTAAAATGTATAAAACATTGTTACCTTTTTAAGTTAATGTTCTCTTTTATTTATTCCACAATAAACGAATTATTATTCGGATTTTTATGAGAATTCAATAAGGCTCTCTAATCTTTTATGTGAATTGTACCCACAAAACGTGC